CATACATTTAAAATATTATATTATATACCAATGGCATCATAATACCAAATTTTTAAACACAATCTATGAAACAAAATATTAACCCCCCACAACAAGATTCTTGTTGCACCGCTGAGCATAATATCTATGCACCAAAATAAATTATACGCTTATACAAAATGAATAATAATTTCAAAACAATTTTCATTTTTCGGAACACTATTTAAATAATGTATTCAATGTCTATCTTCAGAATCGTTCTGTTTCCGATATCTTTCGTTGTTAAATTTTTCGGATTTCTATGATTTCCAATTTGATTTGGTTGTATAGATAGGTACCTAGTTGTACTATAAATTATTTTTTTAACATTCATTGTCACTTATTATAACTACTACGTACTATGTAGGTGTATTAGGTACAATTAAAAGCATCACATAATATTATCTAAATCTACATTTACATTTTCACGATAACATTAAAAAAAAGTTTGAATTATAATATATGTACCTGCTATGGCCTATGAGTTGTGGACTTGTGGTCAATGCACCATAATATACAAATGATACACTACAGTAGCGAAAATCTGAATAGAAAAAATATAAACGTTCAATTAAGATTTAAGATGTCTACAGCAACAACAACAGGTATAGCCGTGTAGGTACTCCAAATATACACGATGCACACCTACTCGCTATCGTAATCCAACCCACAATAATAGTTATCAAGGCCTGAGGGATTATTTATTTACCACCTACCTACCCCGTTACACTTGAAGGTATATACATATGTTTTGATTTTTAATTCACTACCGGTATGTTATTGATGACAATAAAAAATATTACTTCTATACAATTAATTACAATTACATACCTTTCCATAATAATATTCTATATTATAGGTAATTATATATTATTATTTATTACAAGCATTCATCCACAGCGTACATAGGTACCTGCACGCATTAATGGATCATGATAGATATTATATAGGTGCATCATATAATTTGTTCCTATTTGATAATAACTCCGCTGTGTTGTCTTGCAAAATGCTAAAAAACTATGAACCCACTGTAAAAATCTATATACATAACAATAAATTGTAATATGTAATACCTATATCGATCAAAATGCATAAGTGTATATTATATAGACTATAACAACACTTAAACGGCGTGTTGACTACACTCGCATTCCTATACAAGGCAAGAGGAAACAAGCTGTAAATAATACCTATATTATTACCTCCTTGTTTTGTATAATATTATGTTGTATATGCGGGACATCGCGGATAAATGTGCGTTAACACCTTATACATACATATGGGCAGTTCACAACTGCATGTCTGCACTTGCATCCGCCGTCTGCAGCTGAAGACATTAAATTATTTACACGCAATCAGCGAGTGCATCTCGCTTTTTGAATCGCAGTTAACCACGAAGGTATCAGAGTATACGTGCAATACCTATAAGTCATATACATAGGGTGATTCATTTCAACAGTGTATGGGAGACGATCCCCGCAGTCCCAGCCAATGTTTTTAATTTTTTTTTTCGAAATTATGTGCATTCATAGTTTGGAGTACCTGCTGGCTACTTATAATAACTGTTATTATGCTTGTAACAACGAGTTTTTGAAGTAAAAATGTTAATTGTTATGTATATATATATATATATTTTTTTTTTTGATTTTTATCTAAAACCCAAGACAATAAAATTGTTGGCTTTTAAAATATTCACCCTGTATAATATAATATACATGTGACAGACATATATCTATATACTCATTATACATACGATTTAGATCTGAGTTGACCGGACAAGTCAAAACAGTGGTTATATTTACCGACATCAGGTCATATCGGGTCGTTCGTGTGTACCTATGGTATAGGTGGTATACATAAATGGTAATAATATTTATATATATATAGTATGGTATTTTTAGTCTGGCAGGACGTTAGGTACCTTGTTATACCAATCAATTTATATGCTGCTTAGTGCTTAATTAACGATCGAATAAACATATTATATTATCACGCATGCGTGTAAATAAATAGAATGAGTATACCTATATATATTTTTTTTTATGTAAACAGAGTACCTGCAGCAGCAAGCGTGACGTTGTAGGTATGTCGCGTTCTACCTTCTATGCTCGTTTCATCGGTTTCATATTATATATTATTACCTTGGATCTAGATAATGTATAAAATTATAACCCAGCGCATTTACAATATTATCTCAAAAACAACTGTACACTAATCATATATATTTTAAAAATCACATCGGTACATTTATAATGCATAATATTGTTCAATATTCATATTATGTTGCATTAGTTGTCGACTTGTCGTCGCTTCAAATCCTTGTCGTGTATTTTATACTTACAGTTTATACGCATGACACTCCGTAATCGCCGTTGCACGCAGTAGGCGCGTATAACTAATACTTTTGAAAATCGTAAACACTTCATCAGCCTAGTTCGTTGCGGTTGCGGTGGACCGTCCATAGGATTTCGACAAAGGGGAGCACTGACTGAGTAGAAGCACCCTCAAACAATGGGCAGCACTTCGATATTAATTTTATAGGATACGTTACGCCGTCTTGTGGTGTAATGTCGAGTAGCGACCTTGTGATCTAACATAAGCTCATTCAATTGAATTACGTAGGTATTAAAAAATGATTCGATACACTTTCAAGATGAGTAGATATACCTTATACGAGTCATGAAACCGAAAATAGTGAATTATTACCATTAAACAAATTGGAAAAAGCTGCAATAACGAAAATAATAACTGATTGAAAGTAAAAATCCGAGGCGAGGGGGTAGCAGGCTGGCCACAGCAAGAAGTCATCTTTTAGGTAGGCGTCCGCTGGATTAATAATACAATATAGATGTATGAATTACGTAAACACTATAATATATAACAAAACAAGTTAGGAAAGCACACTCTTCCAACGTGCTAAATTCTAGATTTCTAAACGTATATTTTAAACAATGAACCATAATTCCACGCAATTTTAAAAGAATTATTGGCAACCTAGTAAGAACTTAAATACTATACTATATAGGTATTAGAAACCTCAATAAATGAAATATCTTAATTTTTAAATAAGTGACAGGATATTTTAAAAATTCTTTAAGTAAAATATAACTTCATACTATACCTAATCTATAAAAAGTAAGAGCTGGACAGGGAACAAAGACCGGTTGTTGGTCACTCATCACGATGCGCTGAGACAAGCGCCATTGTTATTTGTTGAGCCACATTAGTAGTAGTAGTATTTTAATAATAATATTATTTAATAATACTAGCTACTGCTAAGATAGGCCTCGATTTGAGTGCTTTTAGGCGGGGATACCTACATTTAAGTACCTAATTGTATTATTCTAGTTCTAAGTAAAAAAAGTGAAATTTTAAGTTATAGGCTACAGAGTCATACTGATTATAGTGATCGGCCATCTTCAGTGAAAACTGAAAATCGATGTCTGTCCCTAATCCGAGGTGGGTTAGATACAGGCATACAGCACTACTGTACTTTTGACTTTGATTTGAGTGCGAATCTGTTCGTTAACAAGTTGATGATTATAATATTACGAATAATATATACCTCATAGTTAGTTGTTAACCAGATCAACAATCGTAATTATGTACTACAACTGTACCAGTAACTAGTAACTACAGATGGACACGGCAGGGATATGGTAGATAACAAGACTCATTCATAAAGTTAAGTTTTTTAATAAGGTTGGATAAAGCCTTGTTAAGAATACTTTTCAAATTCATTAAAAATACGTATTAAATACTTGTTGTCATTTGTATTTGAAATACGTATTCGAATACCGTTTTTTAAAAGTATTCAAAATACTTTTCAAGAACTTTTTTGTAGTATATTAAAATGCTTTCACAAATGTACATATACTTAAAATTATTAATAAATATTAAAATTAAATAATTAATAAATACATTCTTTAATTGGTTCAAGAATTGCAGATGTCATATTCCTATTAGGTATATAGAAAAGTTAAACTTCACCAAAGCAATTAATATGAATTGTTGGTATTGTATCATCTGCGTGTTTAATGAAACCTCAACAATTCTTAGAAGCATTGTAAAGTATTATTTTAAGACAAATTTTTAAAATTGTAATACATTTACGAAACACAAATATTGTTTTTTGAAATACGACGGTAAAAAAGTATTTGGTATTCTAGAAAAAATACAAAGAAAATGTATTTTGAAAGTATTTAAAATATACTTGTCAACAATTATTTGAAAATTATTTAAAACAAGTATTTGAATTTTCAATACTTAACAAGACTATATTTAGATACTTACTACCTACATACGATACGATTCTTGTAAGGACGGGTTCTGTACATTTAATATGAAAATTATAATCACCTAATACAATACAATACAGTAGGTATACAATTTCATAAATGTAAAAAATGTATGTCGTTAAATATAATTTTTATCAATTCGATTTTGGTGATTTCGATTGAATGAAAATTGATTATGATAAAAACTGTTTAATTTCCTTCTTAATGTTCATGTCGGTTTACTTAGTAACGGCACTTGGTTGCCGGGTAGGTATTGAAATATGAAACATACGATATTATTACCACCAAGAGCAATATGCTTCGAGGGGAAAATCAATAAAATTATTTATTTTTGTTTAAATTAATATGACGTAGTACTGTTTTTGCTTGATAAATTATTAAGAGGATGTCAGCACACAATTATTTTGTTTTTTCACTCTGACCCAATCGCAGCATAGACAATTTATGTTTATAAGAACCAACCCTGTGTCTTTGTGTTGTTACTTTTAATATTAATAATTAGAGCTAGGATTTTAATGACCTAAAAAATACACAAAAATGCACTAAAAAAAAATGCAAAAATTACCTAAAAACTCTTAAATATGAACTTAAAAAATGACCAAAAAAGTACTTAGATGAGCGAAAAAAATTTATTTTAAAAATAAATATCACTATTAATTATTAATTATGAATATTAGCTGCTAATAATGTTTCATAAAACTCTAAATTAAATGATGATTGATCACTATTATTTGTTATATTAGATAATAGTACTTGATTATTTTGTTTCACTTCATTCAGTTTCGTTGAATTCCACGAGCATGCTTATCTCGACTGATGTGTTGTTGAATTGTAAATTTCTTTTCGGAGGCAACTGCAACATTACAAACTTTACAAAAAAGTACCTTACCGTCCGTAGAAAAAATATCGGCACCAAACTCGCTCACAAAACTACGTAAACGGCTTTCAACTGTTGACTTCATTTTTGACATTTTGTACAGTTAAGATCGGTAGAACCAGATAGGTACGAGTCGAATTCACTACTAAAGCTACTATTGTATACCTAAATAGTTATGGGTCGTTCGATATTTAATCTTATCGGGTAAATTGACAATTAATTATATTAATTTTTCAATATCAATAGACTGGAGTAGGTAATTACCTATAGGTACTAAATACTAATTGGGATTACCTTTTACCTACCACTGCGAAACCGATCGAGAATAATGACTTTGCTGGTCTAACAATCAACTTGTCAAAATATTCATTCAAATAATTCAAACATCATATAAACTTCCAATTGAATGTCCTTATGACTTTGTCGAATAATAATAAAATATAAAACCTACGTGTCACACCCTAAAAAATATTATTCTCCATAATTTTTGTATTAAGTGATTTTGCTTTCAGATTACTCAAAAATCCTAAAAAAAAACAATTTTAGTTAAAAGCGTTTTGTCCATGTTGTGCGTGGGTCTGAGGGAGAGAACAAATGGTGAAATTGATATTTTATTTTATTCGCAATACGCTGCGTCATCTGGCGGCCGACGCTGCGGCGAAATGGCCTCTTCGCACAGATGGCGCTGTCGGCGTCGTCGCCGCCGAATCGGCCGGACGTCCTCGCTGTCGGTGAATATTTGGCGGTCTTTGTACCAGGAGATCATGCGCTGGTAGCGCTCGTGCGGACCGCTCGCCATAAAACGCGTACGCGGCAACTCGGTCGTTCCCCGCGGCCGTCTCTCCGCCGTTGTGTCCGCGCACGCCCGTCCATTAAATTAAAACGAAATTTTCTCGTATCGCCCGCCATCACCACTCAGTGACACTTTCGAGTAATGTATAAACAAATAAAAATAATGATTATTACTGTTATCAATCGAATAGAGCTCGGATTTGTACGCTACATCATACTTATCTAAGGTATGCGCTAAAAAAACTGACAAATATCATTTACAATAATGGTATTAACCTTTTAACATACGAATCACACGTCGTATGCAATAAAAGTTTAAATGTGCACCGAATAATATATGCACTGGTGAATATCGTCGTATGATATTGTCTATTGTTTAAACAATTTGTGTCGGTAACTTTACTATAATTGATTAATACCTAAACGGCTAAATACCACAAGAAAGTGTCCAAGACGTATGAATGCATGACAAACAACAAACAAAACAAATTGAAGAAACGCATCGAAAATTTAAACATGACGTTAAAATATGTGAAAAGAAATTAACCAAACTGTTACTGATGTCGAAATTTGAGTTAAAAAATTGTTTACCGTTACAGATCACAACGTCATGAAACACAATGTTGTGTGCTCTAAATCCGGTGTGATCAAATGACGACTCCAAAAATCCATATTTTGTCTTTGGGCTCGCGTCAGTACGGGAAATGCAATTTTTTTCGAAATTCGCCGACATCGCGGATAGGATAGCGGTCGCTGCGGGACGGCCGAGCTCCGATGGTGGCCGCACGTGGCACGGCGGCGTTGGCGCGACGACCGAATTTTCCCGCCGCGATTCGCGCGGGTCCGTTTTGGACGGCGCCGTGACGCCGGCGGACCAGGATCCTATACCGCGCGCGACGCGACGAGCGGTTTGAATATTCGTTCTCGTCCCGTCGTCGTTGTTCGGTTTTTGGCAAGCACACAACATACGAACCACATCGATGCACATTTAATGGGGTACGATGACATTTTTCCGTATACGATGGAAGCGCAGAACTCGTACGCCTCTGGTGAGACAGTGAAATGTAATGTCAGGCCATGAAAACTCCACAACCCGTTTGGTTTATCACGGGCGCACATCCGGACAGCCGACTCCAGACGACCACGGCTGCGAACTGAACGGAACGAGAAGACACCGAAAACGACAGACAACGGCCCGGAACACGGCGCGCGCCGCCGCCGTCATCACTCCGTGAAATACTTCGAACAGCGCCCCCCGGCACCGGACCTGATACGTCGACGGACGGGTCTGCCGGACTGGTTTCCTGGAGCGAGGTGTGGCGCGAAGGTATTGCGCGTTATTTCATTTTTTTTTTTTGAAATAAATGGACCCCTCGGATCGTTGTGTAGCGCGAGCGGCAGTACCGTTGTCGGCGGCGCGGCGGCCCTCGTAACGCGACCGTGTGACGAATGGTATCCTGGTACGAGACGCCGCGTACGGCTCGCAACAGTTTGCTCGCGAGACCACGTACAATGGCAACCGTGTAACGACGACGGTACGCGTCTGTAAATACGACGGTTCTGTGATACACTATCGGAGTGTCGCCAAAAAAAGGTACTCTGGATTTGTGTGTTATTATTTATTTAATACTTTTTGTTCATGAATGTGTTTTGCCATTTATGCGGTTATTTTAATTCAGGGTGTCGTCGTGAAAGAAAGACCGTTGAAAGAAGTTATTATTATTGATCTATTATTGCGATAGTTAACTCGACAAATGACGTCAACTCGTCGGTTCTATGATTTTCGTTTATTACGCCGAAATCAAGCGACAATCACCGACAATTCGATGCGTACGAAATCCCGTCCCTCGATTTTTCTGTTTCGCCCGTGACGTGTCGTGTGTAGAAATCGGTGATCGCCGCCGCCCGCGCCGCGCCAGTCGCACAGATCGGTGGCGGCGGCAGATGCCGGCAATGTGAGCGCGGGCTCGGAGTCGCTCAGCCGCCGTCCACCGCCTGCGTTCCTGGTACCGAAAACCTACGATTTGTGGCAGAGTGACGTAACTGCCACGTTTTGACATGGTTTATGACAGCTGGGCCAGAATAATAATAATAATAATAATAATAATATTGCGCGCCCGTCCTGCCGCAGCTGCGTTTTTGTGGTACCGGCCGCCGCCGCCGCCGCCGCCTAGTCCACGTCACGTCCCACCAGGACTTTTCGAGTTTTAGACAGGAGCTCCCCTCCGAGTCCTCTGGGCTCGGACCGAAGGGATTGTGTTCTCACTCACTTTTTCTTTGTCTTTCTTCTCTCTCACTCTATCATTCTCCCTCTCTTTCTCGCTCGATCTCTCTCTTTTTTCTCTCTCACCCTATCTCTCTCGCGTTTCCTTTTTAATCTTGAATGTTCATTCCGTATCGTTTCATCCATCCACCAGAAACGGGTTTCACGTCCGTGAACATTTTGGTTTCTTATATTATTATTATTATTATTATTGTTTTTTTTGTCTTTCAACGAGCGTCGTCTTTCAAATTTCTATTGGCTGCATAGTGTTTTTGTTCAACAATATTTGGTCAAAACCAAGGCCGTAACTAGAACACATTTTTGTATGAGGGTTTAAAATCCAATCATATACTTTGTAATATAATATTATACATAAAAAAAAAAGTAACATTCGATCGTAAAAAATGCATGTATAAATAATTATTTTAATACATCAAGATAAGGTTTTTTTGTTTTGTAATATGTATTATAAACATAATATGTGATAATTTTACAACTTTTTAAATAAAATATTTATTTATTTATGTGGTAACTGATAATTCTTTAATGGTTATAATTACTTAAACGTATATCAATTAGCAAGCGGCAATAAATTAGGTATATTAATAATACACAAAAATAAAATCACAATTAATGTAATAGTATGTTTGATTATGTGTTTTTTTACCCTCCGCAACATTGCGTGTGTGTGGTAGAAGGATACAGTTGGAACGCGTGTTCTTATGTGGAGCAGAGATTCGTCGACAAAAACCGGGTGGTCACCCATCCGGGAGCCAATGATGTCGGACGATGCTTGACCGCTGCAGCACACATTTCTGCAGCCAACCACCTCACAACAGTCACAACACCACTACTCCAAACTCTAAATTATATTATAATTTATGAAGTATACAATATTCTTAACAAATTCTACAAAAGACATCAGTTGCTCAATTTTTTTTTTGTTTTTGAGTATTCTTAGAGTGAAATTGTAAGACACAAGCTACATTAATTCGATTAACTATATTATTAACTTTTTTTTTTCCAGTTTTGAACCGACGACGCAGCGGGAACTGCTTTCGCATTGCTTCCGCGGCGCCTTTATTAACTATATCATGTTATATGTACCTTTGCTATTTTAAGGGAACAAATATATTGCTATAGGAGATTATTACCAAACTTAAATAGATAATATTTTTTATTTATGTTTCGTTTTTCATTAATAAATTGTTATTGTTATTTGTTTTATTTGTGTTCATAGTTTAATGTCAAAGTGCACTAGCTTACTAACTTTGTAAGATCTAGTAATTGGTATCTTAATGTAAAAACAACGTTATCAAAAAAATATTTCATTATAGGTGGTATATATTCTTGTACATTTTAAGAATAAGTTACAAATTGTATAAAGAATTGATAGAGCCTAAAATTATTTTTAGTTTTTACACCTCCTTCCTAAATAATTCTTTTTTTTAATTACCTAGTTGAGAATATACAATCTAGCTAAAATAAATTTGTAGGTTATATGAGTGCATGTGCTTGCAGTTTATGTATAGGTTGGGCTTGATACATCATAGAAATTTAATAAAAGTAAATATTTAGAATACAAATTGAGCCCTAGACACTATAGTGGAAAATTCATCATACAAATAATTCACAGCTGCAAAATACTATAAATTGTTTTTTTTTTAAATATTAAAATAAAATAAAATAAAATAGAAGTTTCGAAAACTTAACGCATTACAACTACTCATAGACCAAGATTTTTGCTGTAGGTATAATAAACGAAATGAATTTGTGATGTACAATTAATTTTTGTGGACTAATGTCGATGCAGTAAATACCGCATAATACATAAAAATGTAGTATAGTATGTAACATAATATTGCATTTGTCCGTGCTGCATAACAGCTATTAAGTATGCAATCCAATATCCATATTCTAAATTTGACGAATTCGTGTATTCACATAATAGAAATGTATTAGAATTAAGAAGTTTAAAATTACCATGTTTAAATTCAGAATAAAAATCTAATAATACGTAACAATACTTTCCATTATCCAATTTGAAAAAAAAAATCATTCATCGCTCCGTTTAGTGTCTAAGACACGATAGTATCGGTTGAGAATAATAACAGTTTAATATTTAATAATTAAATTTGATTTTATGAGTAAAGCAATTTTGTCCCATGAAATATAAAAATAATAGTTCATTGTAAAATGTATGTAGGTATATACGCTTATCTAATTAAATTTACTTTATAATTAATATATATATATATATACATTGTACAATGTATATTCACTATTTAGCATTATAAGCACACCTTATCTGGGATAATAGAAATTTTGCAATATTTGTCTATGAAAAGGTAACTAAACCGATAAAAAAAAAAATGATAATTTTTTCAAACATAAATACATTTTGAGATAACATTGTAATGAATGCATCGCATACGTGTAGGCAATATAAAATGCTAATATGTATTTTATGTTATCGGTTACAAGGTAAGAAATGACCTAAATTCTTGCAAAAAAATAAAAATATATAATATAATTTATGACAGTATTAAGTAAAACCCACCATGTCATAATATTTCAGTACATTCCAGTTTAAAACTTGTGCTGACAACTTATTTATGTCTTCAGTGTAAAACAACTGATTTTTTTATCTAAAATATGTGAATCACTATTTTAATCAAAAATACTACATTTTTTGTAAGAAGTTTACATACTATTGAATTTCTGTTGAAGTCTAATGGATATTGGTAATTATTTGAAGTTACCTATCTTTAATGTATTTTCACTTACATTCTCATATTTCTCGCTACTAAAAATATACTAATAATTGTTATTCTATAACAGGTAAGTATATTATTGATTTATTTCTCTCTGTACTTTTTATGATTTCTGTCTTAAATATATTGAAAAATATCCTAAAAATATAATAAAGTTATAATATATCCATTAATCATATAAGTTTCGTAAAAAACCTAACTTAAGAGACGTTTCAAATGCGTTTCAGTGTCAATCTTCAGGGTGACCCTATTTTAGTTATTCATCCACAAAACTTATCATATTATTAATAACAATTAGGTTCAACGGTTGATATAACATGAATTTCTGTATCACTCTGAACTATAATGTGTAACGTATGATTGTTATTTGTTACAAACACCATGTTTACACAAAACAGAAACAGTGAAGGTATTAATTATTAATTATTTTTTGGTAAAACTAAAAACATAAGTACACACTAACATATAGGTATTAAAATAAAACCACGATCAAACCCAACATAGAAATATCGTCTGTAAGATACCCAATATTTTTTACTTTGAGTTTATTCTTAAAAAATACTAATAAAACTGAAATTGTACTACCTACTTACTCACGAAACAACATAAGTTTTAACGGCCAGATCTGAAGTAATGCGCAGTACCTATTATATTATGAGTATAATATTGGAATAATAATTTTAATGAATGTATTTAAATGAAATTCCGTGTATTAATCCAATAATAATAGGCACCTATATAATATTTGCCATTTGATATAATATATCGAGTAGTTTTCGTGGTGTTGTAGACTAAATGGCTTCGCGTGCAAAATACGATTATTATACAGTATATTCACATACTATTTGTATGTACAGTATTATACCTATACTCACCATAAAAAAGTTGTACTATGTACATTATAAATTGTGTAACGAGAGAAATTTTTGCCCATAATGCAGTGCTTATACCGCAGCCTCAAGCTTTGAAAATACACATAATACCTATTTAGTATATTATAAATTATAATATTATGTTCACACCTATGTATATACACTTTTGTACACGATTGTTCTTTTAACAGTTAACACTTATTATATGAGTTGATTTTAGTTATTTTAGATTCGGAGTGGAACAAGGAATTTATACACTCGTTTTCACAAAACCTTTTTTTTTTGTTTTTTTTTGTTTTGCATCTATCATTACGTCTTGTCGTTTATAAACACAACATTTATCTTTGAGCTCAAACTAAGACATCCATTATTACAGTGACCTATTCAATAACGACGAGGTACACCCGAATCCTACTATATAGCAGAAGAAAGTTCCTCGGGTCTTATACTTTTTTTAATGACAACTTTATTTTTAACTTAATATCCTGTAGCTGAATACTTTTCAATTGTAAATACGTGTAGAACTAATTGTGTACAAACACTACCATTTTTAATATTTATCTGCTAATCATACTTAAAATCTAAATTAGCTAAATATCATATTGTGTACCCTGGAGATTTAACAGGGTATCATTGACCGCTGCAGCACTTCACTCTAACATCTCGTCTATTCCTTCAAACGATGTATAATAACATCAAATCCACGACGATTGACCATGATAATGAATAGTGTTAACTGCTAAAATAATAAACCTGAACATTTGTGTATAAATGTATAATATAGTTACATAAGTAATTGTATTGTATTACCTAAACCTGTTTCATGAGTATAATGCAATGCTAATATACCAATAATGATTCATTTGACGTACAACACTCAAAAATGCAACAACCATTAACGTTTTTAAACATTTTTTTTACATAATTATATGTCGTTACAAAACAAGGTTTTGAAAAAAATTATAATTTTTACAATTTTATGTCGTTATCATTTTCAACGTTTTTATTATTTTAAAAGACAACGTACATTTTATATTTTTATCCCTGGACAGGATATTATTTGAAGTATTTAGTTACATAAATAATTATTTTCGGAAGAGTATATAATATAGTTAATTAGTTGAGTTGATGAGCGGAGAAGTGGATAAACAATTTGCGAGGTGTCCCTGAGCCACTTCACTGCGTTCATCATCAATACTTAAAAGCTAAAACATTTATAAAGTTAATGCTCATATTATACTTTTCGTCCAAGATTAGAACTCCGACAATTATTCTGCTTTGAAATAAGGAATTTTAAAAAGAACATAAACAGAAAAAAAACATAAACTAAAAATTTAAAATATAGTAAAAATATAATATTTTCTAAAACAATAATACTCTTTGAAATAATAAAGTCATCTTTTTGTCTTCTGTGAAATAATGTACAATATGCTCATACAAATATTACGTGTTGTATTCAATCCAGATAGTTTTGCAAATTATTTCATTCAAATGTCTAGTCATCTACTCTCATATATTGTAAGGTATTATTGGAAATTGTGACCACGAACTATGATTATCGCGAGGGGATATACGACATGATGATTGTGTCGTAATGTGGTCCAAAGTATACTGTCTATGATGATAATATAAAGGTATACAGGTGCGGTGATGTCGGTTAGATTAGGTGGACGTGGACCGTGGATCGTGCACGATGATCATAATTAATGATTCGGACGACTGCAGAGTGCAGTCTCAGAATTTCGCATTTCGTTTGGCCGTCGATTCGCACGGGATACTTTCTACATCAATAAATTATTACATCGAAATAATTATAACGTGTCCGCCCGCAGGAACTATGTCCGGGGAGCTCGGCAGATTTGCGAATTCAAAAATGGAAACACAAAAAACCGTCTTTTCCTTCCCCGGCAACCGGTTGCGCGCCGCCCAATAACCAATAATCCGCAATAACGTTGTACGACGACGAGCTCGGTGATAATGAAAACCGGAGCTCGCGCGATTACACGGAATATAATAAATAATAATAATAATAATAATAATAATATAATCTAACTCGCGTCGGTGGGTGGGGGAACGAGCACTCGCGCGCGTCTCCCGAGTGTCGATCGCACGTCGAACCGTCCGTGCAGTCCGGCGTACATCGCGCCAATCGTCGTATCTCGCGTCAACATCGAGCACCGGCGTCATGACGATACGGACGTAATTGTTACGAACGTCTTCTTCGCATTTACCGTATCGATAGAAAACGAAAAAAAAAAACAGGCGCTACAGAAAATATACCATCGTCCATAACAATATACATACACAGCACGACTGCGGTATCGCATATATAGCAACCCCGCGGGAGACGTAGTCATGTCTCCGCGCTCCAGACGAGTGAGTCGAATCGCGATCATCGAACCGGGGGTGCCGACCGTCTAGCCAATATTGTATACGCACACATTTCCAAGACGATCGCGATTTCGTAAGAAACCGACGTCGTTTACCCGTACGGTAATACTGTGATAATATCGTCGTAAACCTATACGCGTCCGTATACACCGGGCAACGCATCGCGTGTGCCTATACGTAGGTGTAATTGCTGTCAGGTGCCATGTCTGCCGGGCTCAAACGGAACATCAACAACAACGTGGTCGACACCACCGCCGACCGGAAATGGAGCCCGGAAGTCCACACGAAAATATTCATACCGCCCATTAGCGTCACGGAACCCCGAGCGAAATTCGCCAAAGGTAGGACGAGACGAGTGCAACTCGCGAATCTCATAATATACGAATGTCTCGGACTGCAGCAGCGGTGCATCGTTTCTATTACGATATGCATACATATATATATGCACCGACACATACGTCTTATATAATATTATAATATCAATATTTTTTTTTTTTCCAATAGCTGCGATTAGTTTTTTTTACTCTATATTATTTAATTTTACACTCCGACACTTTTGGCTAACCGCAAAGATAAGTGGTATTATAGGCATACGTTGGGCCTATGTCTAAACAATTTACAATCACGAGGTAATTTCGTTACCTGCGCTGTTTTACATAGGTAGCGAGGTATTGTGATTTGAGACACATCGTGTATAGCACTCGCATATGACATTTCTGATATACTCATCAACCGCACTTAATAACATATAATAATATTGTAATAGGTAGACACACAGTTAGGCTTTGGTGCGTATAGTTTAGTTCAATGAACTTTTTTATCAAATTCATTTTAAAAGTAAAATAGTGTTTGAATTTATAGTTCATTCACATCATCACGCTTTTGCAATGAAATAATATTTTGACGTTGAACAATAATTGGCTGGTGTTTCATTAGAATCGGAAAATAACGTATTTTTTTTTCGCAAACAATAATTTACACTCAAAGATTAAAACAATTATTTAATTATGCTGTCTGTGCAAAATTAATAAAGCCTATTTTGGTACTTCATTAACTCTTGAGAGGGGACATCAGTAAACATCAGTTAACATCTGTCTTACACACACGGAGTATATTTTTAAAAATTCTCATCGTATTTAACTCAATAACTGTGATTACATTATTGAAACTAAGGTATCATTACCTACGATTAAAACAATTATAAAATTAATGTTATCTGTGTTTTGTCAGATACTTTTTTAATATTTTGATTTTTAAAAAGGTGAAAAGTATTTAATTTTTTAGTTGTTTATAGTTATTAATAACTTTATTAATACAAAATACGCTAAAAATTATATAATATGTTATATCTTAATTTGAACGATGTATTCTCAATGATTGGAAAAACTAGAGGTATTAACCATATCACACGATTGAATATAACAGATAAAAAAATTTTCATCAGGTAATTTGTTAGTAACTTAATCAGTGTAACGAATTGAATAAAATAATATAGATTACGTAAGATTAGGTTAGGTTAGGTAGGTATACAATTGATTGGATATTTTGTATTTATTATTTGTTATGCATAAATACTTTATTTTTTAATAATATTCATAATATCTTCACCGTTAACACACAACACACAATTTTTGTTTTTTATAAATATTTCTAGTAAAATACATTTAGGTAACTATAGTAACCTATATATGTTTTCTTATATGAAAATAACTTATATTAAATAAAGTACTCTTCATTCGTCATCACCAATAAATTTAGATATTTCTAAAACATCAATGTCCGGTTATTGGCGGTTGCATAAAACATTAATGAACCTAATCTATACGTATAGATAATTTGAAACGTACATAGGTAATAATAGTCAATTACCTAAAAGTTTTGCGCAACAGCACTAGAGTATAAAATATAAATGTAATATATATATTTATATTTTATAAATATTACCAGGAAATTGATTTAAGTTAATAACTTTTTAGGTGGAGTAAACAAAACTAGCTATAAAGTATATATAATATACTATGTATAAGAAAATAATATAGGTACTACTAGAAAACTGTCCATATAATATAATTACAGACCAAATTATAAAATTGAGTGTAGAATGTGTAGATATTTTCTTATTTAATTCTAGAGTATACATTTAATTTATCTATAAATTATATTACACAATATTTATTCAAAGTAGGTACTTATTTAATTATTTAGAACAGTACCTATATAATACACAATTCAATAAAATGTTATATCAAGTATTACCAACTACCAAGCATGGTAATCGTAATTCATTCAGTGATCCACTATAAGAATCCTCTTCCCTATGTGTTCTCCTGATAATGAATTTATTAAGGTTCTGATTTTTAAGTATACTTAAGAACCATATTTTCAAAGCCTTAGATTTTTTTATGTAATTCAAGAAGTATTCTTTAATTGTATGAGAACCAACTTTTTTATTATAAAATGTTAGGAAGAAGATTTTTTTTGAAAATGCGTATGTATACAAATCGATGATTTGGTCCAGTCATTTTTGAATTATTAAACTTTAAGTACTAAGGATATTTGTCCATGAAAATAAGTTTAGAAGATATGGGGCTATGGTAATTTAAAAGTGCCTTGTAATTATATGTCATTATCAATTGTTTATAATTTTATAAAATGTAAAGATTATTCAATTATAATAAGAATGAAACTAAATATCACATAGCTCATTATTTTATTCTTCGTACATAAAGTACTCAAAATAAATAAAGACCATACAAATACATAAAAAAACTCAACAATTACCTGATTAAATGAATTTTAGTTGAATTTCGATTTAGGCGCTTTAACATTTTCAATAAAATTCTAATAACAATTTACAGTAATAAAGTTTGTATCACCACGCGAAATCCCTTAAATAGTACAGAAAACTCTTCGTGCTTAAAAATAGGTTATATGGGTTATAAGTAAACTCAAAAATTCCAAAAACCAGGATTCAAATAAATACAATAAATTATAAAAGTGGGATGAGCATACTTGTTTTACGCAAATATTATGTCAACTCGGATTGTTTCAAAGTTTTCTGATTCTCAAAGAATAATGTTTCCACTTATCAGTTGTACATAAAATACATGTCATGCGTGACTGGAGGTTGTTTACGGTCCACGCTAAAAATACCAACTACGTGGTTGTGGTTGAAAAAGCATAATATCTGTATATCAAACATTCTTTTGGCTGTATACACCTCATGGGCTATACAATACAAAAATGGTGTGGTGTAATATTAGGAAATATATCGTAATTATTCGACGTGATGCACTCTAACGCCCTTCGCCACTTTGTGATATATCGAGGCTGTAAATACGGTGTACCTTTATATTAATACCTACATATAATATCGGTTTACCAAAAAGCAGAAATCAATTTAATTTATTTGTGGAGGGAAGGGGGGCTAACAACTTAAAATTACTTTGTTCAATTTTTCGGGTGAATTGATAGGTTTCAAAAACATGGACATTTGCAAATTATCCTGTAATAAAAAGTCCAAATTTAAAAACTAAAGGCGTTTATAAATATTTAAGTTAATAATTTCTACATCTTTCAGTTTCTTAAAAAGTATGCTATAGCGAGTAGTTATGATTTGTGTTCACATGACAAATTATTCATAGAAAATAAGGACTTTTTTTCAGTAAAAATATTTATTTAAATATTCAGTCATATTATTTTCATTACAAATCTAAGTACGTAGTTCTTATCACAATTTTTTACGGACAAGATTCATACATCTAAAATATTAAAATTATTTTCCAATTGTTTTTAACGGGGTTAAGTTGATTTTGTATGCGAAAGCCCTACCTAAGCCGATGGGTGGAAACCGATTACTTACAATCTGCGTACGATGTTCAACCATTTCGGGGCTGCTAATTCTTTGTACGGTTCGCAACGGAATTCAAACCAACCCTCAAAATATTTAGAAATTGAACTGAAGAGCTCAACTATTATGACACAGTACTCATTAATGTGCTACTTATAACATAGGACCTATTTATCTGAACCCTTAATTGGCCTAAGTGAATATGAATAGATTTAATTTTTAAATCTGTAGCATTTAGCGATGAACCACGCTCGTTATATACATTTTTCGGGATATACTTACCTACTTTGTCCAGTGACAGAAAACGACGACTTCGCGCATTCCCAGGTGTCACCTGTTGCCATCAAGACCGGTTTCACTATGGCATCGGGTGCAGGGGATGAGCAGGAGAACCGATCTTTTTCGGACCACGGTGTGTTCTCTCGCTGGACATAGTATACACCTACATTATGATAAATAAATTAACGATCGTACACAATATAGATGATAATAAGTAATAATTACGATTTTGGGTTTTCCAACAGAAATCGGCTCTACGACTGCTCAACAAGAGCCGCGGCGGAAGTACGTGACGACGGTGGTCTGCAGCAGCGGAAGCGACAGTAGCGATGGTGGATGTGCGGCTGGTGGTGGCGTGGGAAGGGGCCGTCGGCATCCGGTGTCGCGAAGCGGTTCGTGCCGTGGCCAGCCGCAGGCGTTGTCGCCCATGTCGGCCGGGGCGCTGTCGCCCAGCCTGCGGTCGCTCGGCGTCCCGGGCTCGCCTTCCGCGGCCGCGATGGCCATCGGCTCCGCGAATCACAACTCGATGTGCGGCAGTGGTGGCATGTACGCGTCGGCCACCCACCAGCACCGGGACGCGTCGCCGCTCCGTTCGTGGTCGGACGCCGTGTCTGTCCGGTCACTGGCGTCCATCGGCATGGGCTCGACGGACGGCCGGAAGCTGACCATAGCCAAGGTGCCCACGTCGCCAGCGGAACTGCTCAACTTGGCCAGCCCTCAAACGTAATATATACAATCAAACTTTTAAATACTTTATTATTAATATTTTAATCCCTCTCTGTGGATCTAAGAATTTTAACATGATGCGCGTGGGGTATAATATAATGATACGCTCGTGTTCGTTGAAATAACTGAATTGTAAGTTAAATATTTCGTTAAAATAATATTAAATACCCTTAAAAAAAGGAGATTAATTTGATCTCGGTTACATTTTATGTTTTCATGCCCAGATAAATGAGTGCATAGGTACGATATTTATTTAGAAAATATACATATACATATTATAACAACAGTAAGTTCTTCACAGAAATATAATATAATTCTGACGGTCATTTTTTTAATGTTCATCAGTTAATATTTATAAATATTCAACTAAATTACATATTTTATAATGTATAGTATAAATCATTATCATTTTTTAATATATATTTACCATTAAAATATATGGATTATAAATTAAAAGATAAATATATCGATGTGTACAATTTACACCAAAAACAAAACCAAGAAAATATTATGCCTGAAGACGAATTCCCGGTTTCCCCACTATAGATCCGGGCCCTATCTCAGTCGCTCTCACTCTGTCTTTGTCGATTTAATTATTTGGCTCTTTCTTCCGTTATTATATTATTATTATTTATACAACGGCACTCACGTGGGCTCGTGTGCATACATTTCGTTATTTGCACGTCTTATATACACGCCCATTATAATGGCGTTCGGGACGAGCCCTAGGCACGACAACCGGCCGGAGGTAATTATTATGCGTATCGAAACTATTTCGCCAACCAGTTTTTTTTTTTGCGCTGATCTTGAGCGCCGAGTACCTACTTACCGCGATCGGTCAACAAAATTGTTATGCAGGGAAAAAAACGGAAAGAAAACCGACTTATTTGTATATATGTGTGTGTGAGAAGAAATTGCATATACTAACACTATAATAACATAATACATTAGTATAATACTATAGTAAATCGTATTCGGACGACCACATACCAATGATAATAATTATTAATTATACGTTATGGTAAATCTTCGAAAACGATTTTGATTTGCACCCGTTGATATAGCGCTCAGCTTAAGTGCTGAAATGGTCCAGTCATCTTATACATATTATTGTTATTACCTATTATTAATGATTATTGTGCGAAGGATTGCGAGTTTACAGTTACCGCCGCGGTATACAGTGTCTATTATTCTGCGTGTGTGCAAATAATGTGTTATATACAATAGGTACTATATAATAGTGGTCGTGTACGAGAACAAATCCATTGGAATAATTTCATTGAAATCAGTGTATCGATTCTTTGGTATTTAATTAATGCTATCGTCTAAATTGCCCAAATGTCTGCATACTAATCTCGGCTAGCTGGTGTGTGTGAAAAATATGTTATAGAATCATGTAGGTACATTTAAGGTTCTATGGTGTAGGTTTAACCGTATATAGGTTCGCACAATCACACTACACGTGTCAAATAAAAAAATCTTAAGAGACTGGTCATCAGAATATAACCGTATCTATTTGTAGATAAAAAAAAATTGACGACACCATCCATTGTAGGTACGAAATATTATACCTAAATACCTAATAATGTGATAATATTGTTGTGTAGTTGGGCTATCATCGTTTTTGCTTAATATACAGTTATACCTATGCCCAATAAATGAGTTCAGTGTTCAATCGTTGCTCAGTATATTTTGTATGTTTACCTGACAAGGTAAATAATTCTAAAGATCATAGTATAATAAAATATCGATTCAGCTTCAAATATATAAAAACCACCACCTGCAGTTGTTGTCCCACTCAAACAAGTAATTTAGTTTTAAACAAACAGATACAGAAATAGAGTTTAATGAACCTATGTGAAAAAATACGCATTGCTTAATAGAAACAGAATCAATATATAATTTAAACATTTTCAAAAACAGTCCGAAAATAAATTAAAGGTATACTATAAATATATTTAAATGTTTCGAATTCTCACATTTATTTAATACATTAAGGATCAAATGGATTTTATACATTTACATTCACATAAGTTTTGTTCTTTCAATGAATCTTGTTATTAATAAACTGCATTACCTATATGTGTTTGAAACAGCTCTTAAAGTTAATTGAAACAAAGTCCTTATCTTCAGGGATAGAATTATGTCACATCAAAAGTTGCAATACTGTATTTGGGTATAGGTGGAGTACCCTCTCAATTTATCGGTATGCGAATAATTATTTGGATTTGATGTGTTTAAGTGCTTAAGAATATTATGTCTCGCATGTTAAGCTCATTTAGAATTTTAACATATACACGCATAACAATAATTATGGAAACCAGACATTTTTAAAGTGACAAATAAAGATTTAAGAAATTTTGTTTTGAACTTTTATTTAAAAAAAAATGATTTAAAGAAATTGTGAAAAATCAAATTCTTGATACATTATTATTTATTATTTATCATATTAAAAGTATTTTAATAGTCTTATGAGTTATGACTTCTAGACCACTTAAATTTAGTTAAAACATTATCTGTCTTATTTAGCTATATTAAGGTAGGTGCAATAAGTAGTTTTGTATACAGTGCCTATCTATTGTTCGTAGAAAAAAACTATCAATGTTTTGAAAATTAAAAATTTAGACTTTGAAACAGTCGTGTGTCATTCCTATGGACAAAAAAAAAATGTCCATAAAAACTGTACTGCAGGTTACAATATTTTTTTGTAGGTAATGAAATGTGTAAGTTTTTTTCTATCCAAAATTGTTGTCACATATATGTAAGTACACGGTTACATAATATAATTCCCGCAAATTAGTTGTATTTGAACACGCTTATATTCGTAACGCGTATTATACTATTATATCATGATATTTTTGTGGTCGTAAAATACAATAGCCGCCATGTAGTAAAGTAATAATAAACCTAACCTATTATTTGCGAATTATAAACATTTAATACGCACATGTACAAGTGCTCCGACCGTATAGATGCCAATATTATATACTATATAGATTGATCGCGAGTATAGGTGTAAAATACACCTATTTATACCTACGGGTATACGACGTATTTTCACGGTGTAATAGTTGTAGATATTCGCGTAATCGCGTGGCATATATTGCAGATGTATAAAAGGGCAGGGACGTTCCCTATAGGTAAAATGATGTGGGCAAAATAAAAAAATGTCTCAAAATGCTAGCAACGTAAAGGTTTAATATTCCATCAACACATGTTGATTATTCTATGTATTAATGATTGATACAATTTTTATATTGTTATATGTACTAAATGCATAGTATACAATGAAAATAAAAATATTAAATCAAATACAATCGATTAGAAATGTACATTGTACATAGTTCGATATTGATAGTGAATATAAGAACTGTGAATTTTGGCGTTTTATCCCAAACTTAATATTTACATTTTGAATGAAACTATCATCGGACAAGTTCATCCTTTTACGATGAACGTTTGTCGAATTATAAGTTTGTATTATTTTTTTCTGGGGGAGGGTGGTGGAACGTACCCTATATTGCAGGCCCCCGAATGTGTATGCAAACTCATTTATGAAGTAATATTAAAAACTATTTAGTACTTGTCCTTGTGGTAAGTAAAAACGAAAAGCATTTTGGTAGGTTAATACGAGCGTTTTCAGTGAAAAAAATATACCTGCTTGAAAAACGCGTCTCTCCAGCCCTCTGCGATACAGCTGATAATAATAACGAGCTAATACGATAATCGCACACGTTATACCATGCGCATACCTTACTTTTATTGCCACCTTGTTGTCGTTTTTTCTTTGTTTAATCATCGAACCAGCCAAACTCACAAATAATCATATAATAAAATAATTTATACTGTTTTATCGTTGTGTGGATATTTTATTATATGCGTTAAACGTCGTTGTATAGGTACCATACCATTATACTCGTGTTATTATTTATATGTATAAGTACCTATATTGTTAATTGTTATAGTGCGATTACAACAAATCCACCATGTGTAACACCGTTTATATGAACAGTGGGACGTCAAACTTTAGGATTACAAATCGATTTTAACGACAGGACCAGCCGCGATTGGTTTTAATTACAACTGGTTCGGCATCGACCATTTTCGTGGAACTCGAGATGAAAGTCTCCGATGAGTTTGACCGTCTATCTAGTCTGCATTTTTCAGTTACTATTTGCCTGTAGGTATACATTTATGTTATGGACGTATTGGTGGATTAGAAATAATAGTGAAACGTGTGCTCCAGTAAAGGACATCCTTAAAAACTCTATCACAAATCATTTATCAATAATTAGTGAATAAATAATTTATGTACACATAATATTACAAGTGATCGATGAAGTATATTTTATAAACCTATCGTGCTTTTGATTAAATAAAGTAAAGTGTTAAGTGAAATACGTTTTTTCATTATCGGCCGTATCAAATATCAATTTTATGTGACTTGAGTCTGAGTGATAGTTTGCCTACTATTTACATTAATTTAGGGTAGGTATACAATATACATGTTTTAAGTTATCTACGTTGTTATCAAAAATCCGGGGCTATTAACTATCTTTAATTTTTAAATGTATGTTTTATTAATTGGTGCCTATACTTTTGTTTTGAATAATTTATATTAAACTATCCATTATTTACCATTATAAAAGACCGGCAGCTCTTTGTTTTCTAAAGTTTAATCACAGTTATAATAATCATTACTTGACTATGAAAATGATGCTCACAAATCACAATATAGAATTTATCACATTTTATTTTTCCATGAAATACAATGTATAAATCATTGGAACAAATTGAAATAAATACATTGCTATTACTGACTTCTGACTTTGTGAGTCTGTAATAAGTAGACATTATAACTAATTGATTAAATGGCTAGGTTCTATTATTTTATTGTACAACTTCGTTAATATAATATATTCTTATACATTTCAAATTAAAAAAAAATTGTATCTATAATATATTCAATTTTGTAATCAAATTACTAAGACCAATTA